GACGTTTCTTTTTTTTTCCCATCTCATAACAGCTACACTAATTTAACTCATCAAAACACCTAGGAGTACATTTGAAATATTGTGGAAGCCAATAAATGGGAATCTCATTGATAATTCAAGGCCTGATGAAGGTCATGAGACCGAAACGTTTGATACTTTTTACAAGTATTTAAAGTGTGCAGGATTTCCTTTTGTGTTTTAGATACCTGTATATAAATATCCTGCATGTTCCCATTGGATTTTATTTTGGATTTTAAAACCTACTGTCACATGACTCATTATTATATATTTTATTCTTGTCGCTTTGACATTCAGAGTAAGCCAAACAGTTATTTAAAAGTGAATTAACATTTACATAATTAAATTACATAATAACATTTACTCAGGAGCTCCCAGTACAGTTCATTAGGCCTTTGTGGTTTTGTTGTTATTGTCAGTGCAGTCGCAATAGTGATGTTAGAAACTGATGTCATTCTGACACATTCTGATACATCCACTAAGGGCCATTTAAAAAATTCATAACAGATTGAAACACCATATTTTATGATCTTTATGATTTGCTGAGGAAAATATTAGCCTTCTTATAAGATACGAAGCTCTTAAAAACCTTTGAAAATTATGCAGGGTTCTCAAGTTTTATCAAAAGCTTGGAGTGAGATCACATGCGGTTAGGGGAGGAGCCCTAATGGAGCCCCGCCCCCCACTTTTACCCATTGTTCATAATTAACCAGCACAAATTGAAATTATAACAATTGGTAAATCTGATAAATGACAGAGCAATTCATCACATCAAATATACTCTTTAATGTTATATTTCAAAATTACAAATATACAAAAATATAACAAATTGCTCCAAACAGTTTGGAAAAACAATTCTTTTTGCATTTTGAATGTGTCTAGTCGAAATGGTATAATGATTTATTGTGTGGTGGTGGGGCATTGTGAACAAATGGACATATAAGAGTATTAAGGTGTGTGTGTGTGTGTACACAAGAGTACACACTCCGCCTTATGAAATGTGTTTTGTGTTGTAAGTGTTTGTTGCACATTTTGATGCCTTGATAACAGGGGTAGGGGGCTCTTGAAGCACTGTGGCTCGATGCCAGACATTTTCTCTGTCATAAATAATGGATGACAGTGTTCCGTCCAGAGCCAACCTGTTTCTAGTTTTGGTTTTGTTCAAACCTACAACAGAGAACACTTTCTCTGCATCTGCATTGGGGGGGAAGAACCAGTTCGGCAATCTTTGACAGACGTCCAAATCGGAAGCCTTCAATTCATGTAGCCTTAAGGCTTAATGTAACTAGAAAGACTATTAATACAGTATAATATATAATTTAAAATAAAATGAATACGTCTTCATTCCTTCCCATACCCACTAACATGTCCCTTAGTTTCAGAGAACGTAAGCTAGCCGAACTGAGCCAAAGCTTCTGGCCTGGTTGCAAAGTAGTTGTAGAGTTTTTGACTGCGTCAATAATAATGGGCTATATATTAAATGTTCTAGCCTAAAAATGTTAGACGAGCTTTCTTCCAACTTACCTTAGGTTCTCCATCACGACTTGTGTTCACGCGATGTTGTTGGTTACCTAGTAACGAACGTACGGTGGCCGAGAATGTTCCGTCATCTTCCATGTGTTCGCGCATCTATGTTGCCTAGTAACGAACTAAATCTGGCCGAGATACGTGCTGGCGGCAGGAAACTTCACTTTGTGTGCCTGCACCTCGTATACAACGTTATATATAAAGCCCGCAGGACAACTTGGTTGGCATTGCCTTTTCAGAAATACACGGTGTGGCGTGTGAGCGTGTGAACTGGTTGAATTGCGTGTGTCTCACGGCCAATGCGTGAGACTTGAGATGGATTGTGTATTTGTATTCACATGTTGTTTTCATACAGATTCATGCATTAATTTAAGGTCGTTTAACATTTTTATTTATGTTCGTTTATTTTATACTGAACTGAAAATGTCATTCAGAGCAAACTTCGACATGCTTTGTTGTTATTCATTTGATAAACTTTGAAGTTTAAACAGCATAAACGGGGGAGATCAACAGGGGGCGCAATGCTCCATATTCCCTCTCAACCAAAAAGCAACCAAAGAAGAGCGACGCCCAAACACGCGCGGGAAAAACCGTTTCTCAGATACAGGCAACGTGATCATCACTCTCTTCAGGACTTATTAAAACAACGAGATTTAACCATTATAATGGTGCTCTTGGTAAAAACACCGAAGAAAAGAAGATGCCGAGTAAGGCCATTTAATTCTGTTGATACTGCCGATATTTTCACAAAAAGAAGAAAAGGAAATTAGTGGAGTTCATTAATTTCCTTAACAGCTGGCAGAATTGACAAGAGAAGGCGGAATTAAAAAGGTAAGCATTTTTTAACATTTTTATTTTATTTTTTCATTATTGCATTTATACAATTAAAAAGGCATACAGACACTGTGAGCAGTTGTTGATCTTGAAGTTTAGCAGAAATGTAGGTCATCACTCGTTTGTGATTTATTATTTTTATTAACAATATCCTCTTTAATAATGTAAATATCTTAACAAATCACAGTGTTTCTCAATGGGACTTGCATGGGCAGGCAATGTAACTTTTTGGACGTTGATTGTTAGGTTACAGAAATTTAGAATAAATGTTGCGGAAGCGTATTATTCGTTAGATTTAGGAAGAGAAACGGGCAACTTGAAGAAACAATTTCAATGTAAGCATTTTCCCAAAATTTTCACATAAAACTAACGTTAAATGTTACTCTTCTGTTTCATGACAAAATGCGACTTTCTTGACTTTCATTATTAAGTTATCTTTTAAATTGACAAATATATGTGTAATACAGGGCACAGTTCAGACGGAATAAAAAGATAAGTTGTCTCTCGCTCGCCATTGACTAGCATAGATATTTTTTTTAGAGTTGTGACGTTCGCGAACGAACCGATTCTTTTGAACGGCTCATAAACATGAACGATGGGAGCCGAGTCGCGGCTGGAGGGGAGCCGTTCTTTCTGTCGTTCTTTTTTCATGCGTGTTTCACACAGCTGCACACAAATTAGCTCCTCAGTTATAGGGGAAGGGGCGCACCCAGCGCAGGGGTGCTACTGCCTAAAGCCTTGTTTATACTCGACGCGTCCGCAAGAGCGCGAAGTGCGCGCGGTTAAAATGACGTCATTGCGGTGTGGGCGGTCGTGCGCGTTGGGTGCGCAAGACCCCATTTCGCCTGGCGGTGTGCACGGCACTTTTTGTAACATCGCGCGCGGCGCCGCATCCGAAGATGAACGACTTCGAGCCGAATCTGGCCGAACTGGTGCGTCTGTATCAGCATGTTTATGATCCTTCTATACACAGAGACATTTGCATTGATGGGCGACCATAAAAGCCTCTCATTTTTTGAATAGGAACACATTTACATTAAGCACCCAGTTTGCACTCTAAAGTAACTGCTTATATTTACAAAATAAGCCTACAATAGCAGAAGTAAGCCCTGCTGATGAAATTAAGGTTTAAACACTCTTCAATAAGGCTTCAGTTGTTTACTAGTTTACATGCAGTGAAAGTACAATAAACCTACTGCATTTATTACTCTTTTTATATGAATCAGAAATTAAAGGTGCTCTAAGGCTAAGCGATGTCATGTGTTTTTTAGGCCAAAACATTTTTTGTCACATACAGCAAACATCTCCTCACTATCCGCTGGCTGCCTGTCCCCTGAACACACTGTAAAGAAACGCGATCTCTGTAGACAGCCCATGCTTCACAAACAGCACCAAAAACAAACTGCAGCGACCCGCTCCCCAAAACATAACAAACTGTTCCAGCCAATGACCGACAAGAAGGGTTTGGGGGTGTGGTTTGGGGGGTTAGTGTGCGGATGAGGAGGAGGGAGGGTCTAGCTAGCCTCCGTTTTGTTTGACAATAGTTCGAACGTCAACAAGAAGTGACGTCACCCAGGATCGCTTAGAGAACCTTTAATAAACTACTAATAAATGGCAAACTACTTCTTCACTGCTGATTCCTGGTGGTTTAGAGGAGAATTACTCCGAGTCGCCCCCTGTCGTTTCACAGAATAGCACAACGGCGAGCGCGTCAAGTATAAACGCCTCGTCCATATGGAGAGGTCCGCGCGCAGTCAGCGGAGACTCGCGCTCGTGCGGACGCGTCGAGTATAAACAAGGCTTAACAGCATGATGATAGTTGTGCACGCGCGCGCATCCTTTACGTGAGTACTCCAGTGGGAAAAAACCCTACGTGCTGTCATTGGGTAGGAGCAGAGCCAATGACTTATGCCGTCACATGGTTACTCCAGTTAAAAAAAAAAAAAAAAAACCACTAAAGTAACACTAAGTTCCTTTGTAAATAAATACAAAGGAACTGCTTTGTATTTATTTACATTGCATTTTGTGTTCATGTTATTGTATCTACAGTATATATTTACAACTTTAAATAGTTTTTGTTTTTTATCAAAATGTTCTTGTGGTATTGTATGAATAACATAAGTCAACATAGCTTTACACATACACATACTTTGTACTAAAGGTAAATCCAAAATAGTGATATCACTTTCTAAGCAGAGGGATGTTGTGCAACCCTATGGAATATAGTCCACACATGACAAATGAGGTAATAATCAATATTTCAGAATAATTCAAACTCAGATATTGGTGTGTGATATCTGAGTTTTAATTAATTGACTACAAATCTCACCTCATCATTCCTCCCAGTGATTATTTCCAGGATAAACTGAGATTCCCCCAAGCTGGCTTCTTTAAACTGACTAAATATTTAAAAAGAGCCAAAAGAGCCGTTCTTTTGAACGGCTCTTTGAAAGGAACGGATCGCAAAGATCCGGATCTCCTCAAAGAGCCATAAATCCCATCTCTAATTTTTTTCCGAAATAAGGTCCCATGACCTGGAAGCGGAGAGGAGGGACCAGCTCTCTATTCCCTCCCATTCGAATCTTGACGCGCGAGCTTGAGCTTCAGTTTCCCGCACACTGCCGGGAGAAGTTTGCTTGGACCTGTCGCCTTTGTAAATTAAGTTTATAAAGGACACATTAACACAACGATCGCTTCACCAAATACTAATAGTATGGAAACCAACACCAGAGGTGAGAAATGCGTTGTTGTACTGTAACGTTAGCGCTCTTCTGATGAAACACCGGCGCGCGCTCGTCTCTCAACCTGCAGTTGCGCACTGAAAGATTCTCCTATATTGCTTAGATCAAATTATCGTCCACTAAAACTATTTCGGAGTTGATATTGCGATTTCACAGTTGATGTTGCGATTTCACACTATTAAAAGCAACATAAACATCGAAATAGAAGTGACTTGTGGACTTAAGCGAACACACGTCTCGAGTTGCTCTGTGTCAAAACACGACGACGTTTTCGTGATGGATTCCGTTAAATAGAAGTTATTATAAGCTAGTTTAAGTCTAGTTCATGGTTTAATCTATTTTAGAGACGTTTAGTTACAATCAGTGGTCAGTGCTTGGATGTAATTATTATCTTGTCGTATCGCAGGTGGCGTGTTTGAGTGTGTCTGGAGGCCTCTGCGAAGAGTCTGGAGGCTCCTGTGCTGCAGTGGACCTGAGGAGGAGGAGGGTGTGTATCTAAAGGATTTATAGTGTCTGTCATTAGGAAACACTTCATAATAACTTTAAGTCATTAACTAATATTATATAGCCTAATGCCGAATAGATAAGTAGTTCATGAATGAGAATAAAAAAAAAAAAAAATTATAAGTAAGAATTTGAATATTATGTTAATATTTAATGTGTGGTATCGTATACCAAAGTGTAAAGTGTTATATGAAGATCCCACTTTATAAGTGTCTTTAACTACTATGTACTATCATTTAAATTAATCTTTTGATACAATGCGCTTTTTGTGTAAACCTTGGGTTGGCCACTTGGGAAGGATAGGATGATTATCTCCCTGCTTTTTATTTTATTTTTTATAAGAGATATTTCAGTGTCTAGAGTTCCTAATGTCCTGTACTGTCAACTTTTGTATAGTAGAATTAGTCATCATTTTAATACGCAGCATGCATCAAAAGGGTGTTTTTTTACTTCCTGTTTAAAAGACCAATGCAAAGCAATGGACTGTAATGTATAGAGGAATGAAAATATGGAATGACTTGCCATTAGATATTACATTTCTTTTAACAAGTAAAATGAGATATAAAAAATCTTTAAAGGAATATTTAATGGCACAATATATAGTAATTTGTTGATTTTGATATTTGGAATGAATTTGGGGTTTTAAAACTTTCAATGGTTTATTGGCTTTTATTTTTGTTGATTAATGTCGTCTTGTATTATTACTTGTCGGACTCCCAGGAAGAGTAAATGGGGATCCAAATAAACACACTTTTTTTTTTTACATTGTTCTTATATTTAAAAGACCTGCATGTAATTAAAGCTGTAATTAATTTCTCGAATCACATCTATAATTGCACTGTCGACCTTCCCTTCCCCCTTAAACCTAACCAGACCACCAAACCTGTCCCTAACTTTACCTGCTCACTAGCCTAGCAGCGTTTTGCAAAACAACATGAACACAATAAATGCATTGTTCCTAAATTTTTATGCAAGTGCATAGTACTTAAAGACACCTAAAATACAGTGTGACCCTTATTCATTCTAAACACCATGAAAAACTGTGGCAAAAAGTAATTGATATGTAATGTTTTACCAGAAATAAAACTTTCAGTGGAAGAAACGTCACCACTCTTCAATGGCCAAAGCTCCGTCCGTCCATGGTGAAGATGCTGAAGTTGTTTTCTTCATAGAGGTGAGACTGAGACAAATTAATTGTGACCTACCCTGGCTTTCATTTGCATGCAGTATTGTGTTAATGTGAATGTATCTGTTAGAACAGTAGGGCTGGTTCGAATACCATTTTTTGAGCTTCGGTAGTAATGAACATCGAATATTCGAAGCTTCGGAATCTCTGTCTGTCTGTCCGTTTGCATTTTGATTATTTAGAGAACCGTTCATCCAAACGACTTCACAAGGAGTGCAGTGTCGTATTTGGTGCAATATAGATAGACAGGCGAGACGCGACACGTTCAGAATTAATAAACTTTTAATTAACTACAGAACAGCGCGAGCGGGAAGCAGCGCGCCTCACGCGAGCAGACCTTATATGCTCCGAGAACGGACACTGCACTAGTGATATAAAACACACACACACACACACACACACACACACACACACACACACACACACACACACACACACACACACACACACACACACACACAGAGGTCTTTTAACTTTAGCAATATTTTTAAAAAGGTATAGTCTTATAATATTTTTCTCACTGACAAAGTAGGGTAGATTTAAATAAATACAAAATAAAAAACGAAATTTAAATAAAGAAATGAAATTTAAATATAGAAAAACTAATTTTAAATAAAGAAAAACGAAATTGTGACGTCCCAGTAAAATCTCAAAGTCTCCTATATTTTGCAGTAAATTAATTTAGATTGATAATAACGGGTAAAAAGGTAATACATTTTGTTTCTATTATTCTATTTTCCACAATGTCAAAGCAACGCAGCTTAACCCAAAATACAAGGCATGCACTTCTGTCCATGACAAACTCCGCTGTTCTGCGCTCTAGCCAGAGAATACTCCTGTTGCAGGAACACTTTTAGTAGTCCAAGAAGAAGCAAATATATTTATAAGTAGCTATAACGAAGTTTTTGTTAAAGGGGTCATATAATGCCATTTTTGTACAAGCTAATATGATTCTTTAGGGTCTAAATTAAAAGTTTGTAATATACTTTAATTAAAAATTCTCATTAGTATTGTAAGAAAACAGTTATTTTACCTGGTCAAAAACAGCTCTGTTTTCAACACGCCGTTTCAGTGTATATGACTTTAAATGATAATGAGCTTCGCTGACTCCGCCCCTCTGTTCTGTGCGTACACGTTTATAACACAATTACCATAACGCGTTGTTCAGTATAAACGTGGGATTATGAATTATATTGAGAACGTCATACATAGAAAACATGCCGTAATGTACTAGGGATGTGCACGAATATTCGAATTTTCGAATATTCGATCTGTAATTATTATTCTAAAAATAAAATACTATTCGAATTTTACTACATTGCTTTGCTGGCCGTAAATGCAGTGAATCCATGATAAATCCCAAGCACTAACTCGCAGTTATAATTAAATGCACTGGGTGGCGCTGTGGAGTGTGTTAACAAGCTGTGTGTATTTGATCACATAATGTTGTCGTCTGCCTCGCGAAGTTTGGAATTACTTGAAAACGATCTTACTAAATGGAATTACTTTTGATCGAATTAATTAATTAATCTTGAGTTATAATATCATCACCACAATGAGAAATCACATGAAATCCAAACAGTCGAATGAGGAAAGATATCTGTCCATCACTGCATTCACGACTGCAGGTAAGCGCAGCTGGTCCCCGCGTGATGCGAGATAACTTATCTTATAGCAAAATGATTTTGAGACATATACTTCCTTTAAGTTGCGTTGAGGGAGACAGGTTTAAGAACAGAAAACGCAAAGCGCTGTTAGAAACTTAGAACACCGTTATCTTTGTGTCTCTGAAGCGTCTGTCAGCGAAGCGCCTTTTCTCCCTCGAGCATAAATTGCTGGCGGCGCCCCAGCATGTGGATATTGTTTTTCTCAATATAAACGTGAAACAATATAAACACGATAATCATATGCTGACTCGTGTGTGTGTGTGTGTACGTTCTGTACGATATCTGGCGCAATATGCTTTATTAGGCGTTTTTTTCCCCCGTTCGCGCTGCTTAATCATGCTTTTATTAATGCTTTTGTTTTTTATATTTTTTGTTTACACATAGGCCTACTGTTTAATGTTTTCAACTAAAAGAAAACTTTAACATATATTGTAAGCTTGTTGTGTATATTGCCTAATTGTAAGCTTGTTCAGAAATGGTGACAAAAACGGAAAAAAAAATGTAACTTGAAAAATAAGTATTTTTTGTTAAACGTCATTTAAATAAACGAATATTCGATTTTTATGATCCCGAATATTCGAATGCTATATTTTTGAAAAATGCCCATCCCTATAATGTACCCTGAGTGTAAACCTTAGACGCATTCATCGTGAAGCGTGCAGCTAGTGATTTGCAAAGATATAAATATTAATATAAAGTTTAATAAAACGTTACACTCACTTCAGTTGTTCCAGAGGTTCAGCAGGAACACGAATATCTGGTACCGATCCTTTTTCATGAGCAGCTTCTTAGCAAAACCAGCTCATACTGACCCTCCTCGTTTATAAAGCAGTCTGGTGAGAAATGATTCGGCAAACATGAGAGCATTGACGTTGCTCGTGGGGAATATTCCCTTCGAAAACAAACTCAGCCACTGCGTCTTCAGCGGTTCGGATTTATGAACATTAAAATGACTGCTGTGTTCGTTATTACACCCAAGAACAGAACACCACAATCGCTTAGACGCCATTCTGCTCATAGACAGTGCTCCAGCTTATCAACAATGACCGCGCCGGTCCGCGCAGACTATGATTGACAGCTCGCTCACGAGCGAGGGCGGGTCTGTGTTGAAACGCTCCTGTCAATCAACAATCGCGGGAGGGGCGTCAGAGCGTGTGACGTCACACGGTCGAACGGCTCGATTTGAGGCAGGGGAAAACATATAAGGAGATTAAAACAAAAACACTGGATGGATTTTTATCATTATATGATGGTTGTGTACAGGCACTGCCAACACACATTTCAGTACAATCAACTTGAAAAAGTGCATGTACCATTATATGACCCCTTTCAGTATTACATTTCACCAGATTCAAGCGCGAATGAGAACCGTTTCGAGGGGGATACCAGGTGTGCAAAAAAACAAAAAAAACCCTGAATATTCGAATGTCAAATTTTCAAATCAAATACCGACCGACCGACCGAACGAATATTCGGGTCCAGCCCTATAGAACAGTCACAGTGCTTCTCAAACCTGTCCTGGGAACCCCCTAAGTAGTTATTACCACCCGGCTTATGTCAAAATGATTGATGGCCTATTTGATTGACAGGTTGACCTTCCGGTGTAGGGGTTAGGGATTAACCTTTGACCTTGTTATCCGTCGATCATGTGTTTTTGACAGTTAGTTTGAACTATTGACTCTCCCTATTATATTTCATAGTTTTGACAGAAGATTTGACCTATTGGCTTTCCTAGTCATGTATCATGTAGTTTTGACAGATGGTTTTGATGAATGTTTGAAGACGGTGTCAAGAAGGGTTATATAGGATGTGTGTCACAGGATCCCCCTCCCTTCCACCCTCCGCATTATTGAGCGCATTGGGACTGCTCAGGCACTGTGGGAGAATCTCACACAAAAGTTGAAAAAATTATGTTCCTTTAAAATTATATAAAATAAAATATATACTATAAAATAAATATCTTCCTAATTTAAGTAAAGTTGAAAAAAACATTGTTCTTTAAGGGTATATAAATGAGATGCTTATAAAATAAACATCTTACTAATTTAACTAAAGTTGAAAACCATTCAGTTCTTTAAAATTAATATCTTACTAAATCTACCGAACCAATTATTTCAAAACAAAAAAT